CTGCCCCCGGAAGAGGCACACCCAGCCTTGGCACTGCTCTGTCCAGTACGTGCTCTTCGCATCTATGTAGACAGAACGCAGTGTTTCAGGACCTCAGACCAGCTTTTTGTCTGTTATGGTGGGAAGCTGAAGGGAAAGGCTCTCTCCAAGCAGAGGTTGTCTCACTGGATAGTGGACTCCATTGCTTTGGCATACCAGCAGCAAGGTCGACCGTGCCCCCTTGGTGTGACCGCACACTCCACCCGGAGTGTGGCGTCCTCTTGGGCTTTAGCGCATGGCGCCTCGCTAACAGACATCTGCAGAGCTGCAGGCTGGGCGACACCTAACACATTCGCCAGATTTTACAATCTCCGAGTGGAGCCAGTCTCCTCCCATGTACTGTCTTTTTCAAGCTAACATGGGACCCGTTAGGTGTCTTCGCTTGCTCGCCATGCCACTCCACGGACTGGATACGTGCGATATTCTCCTCGGGTGAGCTTCCCCGAAAGCCCTGAGTTCCTCCAGCACTCCTGATGTCGGCGCCAGTGTCTATTGCCTGCGCGTCGGCTAGGTGCCTTCCGTGTGCATGGTACCTCCTCTGAGCTACCCCCACATGTGTATTTCCACTGTAAGCCTCTTTGAGCATGTGTCTTTCCCTCGGCAAGCCACCTTGCCACCCCTGGGGTTGAAATATTCCACCTGCGGCTGGACACCCCAGTGATTCCCCGTATGCATCCCTCGGGTCATATGTGTATTTTTAAGTCCCCCCCTCTGGGTTGGCAGTAATTGCATACTTACCTAAAAGATCTGGGATGTGCTCCCCAGTGTACCTTGGTATTCCTGTGTTAAATAGGAGTCCTTCGTCCGTGCTAGTCTCACGACAGGGATCTCAGATTTACGCAGGGCACTGGAAGACAGCTGAGAAGTGGCGTGATTAGACTGGTATCCCCATTCGTCGTCATCCGACGGAACTCGGAGTGACAACGAAAGGGAACGTCTCGGTTACGGATGTAACCCTCGTTCCCTGAGTAGGGAACGGAGACGTTCCGTCTGCCTGCCACTTCCGCTGTACCGCTGGAACAGCCGAGTTCAGTCTTGGCTCCTCAGCGAAGAAACATATCTGCATATTGCCGGCTTTCTCCTTTTATTCCCACGAGGTGGGGCGGAGTTGCGCCATGCAAATTCCGCAGACCCATGGCATTTGTTTGCCATTGGCTCGTTTTGTATACTCGAAGTCGATAGGCTTCTAAGCGAAACCCCCATTCGTCGTCATCCGACGGAACGTCTCCGTTCCCTACTCAGGGAACGAGGGTTACATCCGTAACCGAGACGATCTTCATTCTCGGGATCAACAGACTGTCATCTGCTTGCTCAATGTTCATCACGGCAACATTTTATGTGATGGGAATAGATCTAAATACTTTAAAAACTTCTCACGATTTGTTAACCTCGATAGTTGTAATAGTAAAAACGTATAATAGCTGTAGTAAAAGTATTCGAGAGAGTTTCACATGTAAGACATAGCTATTTCATATGCAAGCATGTCAGCCAATCACAGCAGAGGCCGGTTACACACAGCAGACACGCCCCTTCAAACAGAGCGTTCAAATCAGAGGCTAAAATCAGGCTAGGAAAAATGCCTTTTATTTCTAAATTATGACTGTTTTTGATCTAAAAAACATACAAACATTATGTATAGTCACTTTTTAAACACGAAAAACGCATTGAGGCATGACACGCAAGCGGTTGCCGTGGTAATGAACAACCTGCTTGTTAAAGCGAATGTATAATCCTGTATCTGAGGCAAAATGACTAAATATGCAGCGCGAGTTATATATTTCTAACTCCAAACATTAGCCACTGAACCAGCTTATAAAATCTTCTTCAAGGCTGTGCTGGTTGCATTTGAGGTACAGGTCATGGGGTTTCTCAGATTTAGCTTGAGACCGGTATAAGCATTCGCCTCGATAGTAGTTGTGTCTCCTTCATTGCGTATTTTTATATTTTGAATATATCCCTCCACTGCATACTTTAACCCCCTTTGCCTCGATATGGAGGATATCGCTGAGGTATTGCTCCAAAAAAGGTCACTGACACGCACGGGTATACCTCTTCCCGTCATGGCAATCTGCCGCGCTGGTCGTGTTTGACGGGCGTAGTAACTAGGGGGCGTGGCTTTTGCGAACGGTCAATTATCTAGCTAGCATGTCCTTTACTTCAATTTATATGTTGGTATCAAATCAGTGTTTGTAATGCTAATACTAAAGGTTTTGTGGGGAAAAAGTAGAAGACTTGTCTAAGTCTGTGAAACAGGGGCGTCACTAGGCCCTTTTTCAGGCTTCAGCCCCCCTAAACTTCTGCCTAGCCCCCCTAAAAATGTGAGATTAATGTAGGCTACACAAATTCGTGTTCGCTTCAGTCTTGTTATAATCAGATTCAGCGCGTTCTTCATCTTCAATCCGCAGCGGCGCCGACAGAGAGCACGTCAGAAACAGAGGACAGGGTGTGTGTGTGTGTGTGTTCATGTGTGTTCATCTGAGCCTCATTGGTCTGTCACTGCTCGTCAATGTCAGAATATTTGAGATGACCAATCAAATCAAAGTAGGCAGGCTTTATGTTCACAGACGCTGCTGAGCGCGAATTTTAACAGTGTGACTCGACGCGTACGGTCAAGTGCGAGATAAGATGTAAGTAGCTAAACTTAACATTTCATATTTTACTTTTTTTAGGTCATAAATGTTAAACGAATGACAAAAAATAATCAGGCAAACTAATATAGTTTTGTCTAATTTCGCCATTTTGAACTGAAAATAGGCTGTAACGTGACTCATGTAATGTAATAATTAGTTTACAAGAAACATTAACAAAGCCGTTTTCAGCATGTTAGGCACAAGAGATTAATAATGAATGTGTACATATTGAGGATATAATACAAATTGTAGCCTTTAGTAAATTAAAAAAGCTCAGCTTTAGGAGGGGAAGAGAAAGGGACGAAGAGACTGAGAAAAAAAGAAAGAGTGATGGAGATGAGAAGAGAGCAGGTATTGACAAATAATCTGCCCACTGACATGGTTTTAAAGCTATTTCTTATCCTTTTTTGGTCTTCAAACGTCTTGAAATGCACATATCAGAGAAATAAAAAATTTGAACCCCCTACCAACCTCAAATTTAGGACCTCTGTGACTAAAGCCCTGTCTACGGCCCTGTATTAGGCATAAGATCAATAATAAATGTGTAGCCTACATATTGTGAATGCATTTAATAAACTTAATTACCTTTAGTAGCTTTCAGTAAATAAACGCGTCTGAGAAAATGATTCAGGCAAAATCAACCTATCAATTGACCCTATGTTTACTTTCTTCACTGACAGACAAAAATGAAAAGCCTATATCAGTCAAAGCTCAGCTTTAGGAGGGGAAGAGACAGGGCAAGATAAAAACAAAGAGAAAAAGAGTGTGATGCTGATGAGGAGAGAAAAATAATCAGCTGCCCACTATCCAAGTTTTTTGGCCTTCAGAACATCTTAAAATGCACATATGTAGATCAGAGAAATCAAAATTTTCTCGGGGAGGCCCTGAACCCCGTTATTTGCCCTACCTCACATTAGGGACCACAGTTATTATAAAACCGTGCCTTTGCATCGTAATGAAAATGGTTAATAGTGATCTTTAGATCCTAAACTAAAGTGTTACATTTTTTAATTTTTAAAAAAAAAATCATATTGGGGGCTTAGCCCCCCTAAAATGAAAATCCTAGTGACGCCCCTGCTGTGAAATAAACTGTTAAAGGGGATTTAATGATGATGCACTAGTGATTGTACGTGGATTTGATCTTTAATGTACTTTTTTTTTTTTTACCAAGCAGCTGATATTGCCATAGCAACAGCAAGAAGCTATGGATAGTTATGGGAAGTCCGGCTCTTTTCAAAGAATCGGCGAGCTCGTTCGCGAACGACACATCACTAGTGGACTGCCGCAGCACCTGAGACGCGCTCTCTGCTCCTCACCACGGCGCGTCTCAGGTGCTGCGGTTATCACTCCGCCCAAGTAGCAGTGCTTCGCCTTCAGAGAATATAGTTCCCAGTATTTATACGGTTAAAATATGTCTGTGTCTCATGTGACTTTGTTTTTTGTACACTCTGTGACTATACAAATCACAACATGTAAATAGGAAAATGTTTGCGTTATTTTGTCACTTATTTGGATTAGTATGCTAGCTGCAACCATTTACATCCAGTCTTTGTGCTAAGCTAGGCTAGGCTAGTGCGTCAAACAGACTTATAGCACGCACGGAGATGAAAAAGGTATGTATGGACTTATCTAACTCTGGGGGATAAGGTGAATAGGCTAAAGTCCCAAAAAGTCGGAGTGTTCCTTTAAATATATGAATACTATTGTTTTGAATTAAGTAATGTTTGTGGTTCTTTAAACAGATAAGTTTAATTCTCCATTCTCAAATAATTTGATAGAAATTTCACAATATATTAAGTGTATTATAACAATTGGTTAGTCAAATACTAAATTCTTTTAGTGAAAAAATAAATAAATATAACTGTACATTTTAGACAAAATTAATTGTTGGATTTTTTTGTCAATTAACTCAACCAATCAAGTAAATGATATGCAGAGATTTTACTTAAGTTAATAAAGTTATTACTGTGATATTACTAAGCCACTGAATATTTTTTTAGATGGTACCCTACACATGTTACTATGGCTTAAATACTAGCATTCACATTTTTTTTACAATATACAACCACCAAAATGTTTTTGGCCTGAACAAGGTTGAAGTAGGCCTACCCTGATCGATATAATGTTCAGGTACCAGTAATAAAACCCTTACAAGTTGTCTCTGCTTATACATTTGCAGGAACACATTGTCCCATCTCTGCTGCATCATTTACGGTTAGTTCTGATTCAGACAGTGAGTAAGAGAGGGATTGTGTTAGCTTTTATTTGTATAGTGGACTGTTATCTTCATCTCTGAGGAGGACCTTGATCGGATAAATATCCTGCAGCAGTCAACAGTCCCTCACATCTCAAGGGTACACCACACAGATTTCAGGTCCAACATGGCCTCGTTAACGCATGTGGTTGCTTCCATCCTACTGCTGTCCACAATAACGTCAGCGGTGAGACACTGAGCGTTTTATTTTTATTATTGTAATAGTAAGTATGTTATAATGCCTTTTACTGATTGTCTTTTCTCCCTTTTTCACCTTAAGCAAATGAGAGGGGACTATTCACCGTCGCAAGATATGTGTAACCCAAATGATGGGTTTGTAAGTAGGGATTGTCTGATCTGGATTGTTTTAAGTTATAAACTCACAATTAAATTGCTAAATTGTAACTGTCATTGGTTTAACAGTCACTTTCCGTCCTTGCTTTCTCAGGGGAAATACTGCCCTACCACATGTGGAGTTGCTGATTACCTACAGAGGTACAAGCCTGATATGGACAGACAGCTGGATGAAATGGAACAGGATTTGGAGGAGATCGCGAACCTTACCAGAGGAGCACAGGACAAAGTGGTCTACCTGAAAGACTCAGAAACACAAGCACAAAAACAAGCACCAGGTAGCACAAATGTTCATTAATTATCGATTAACAAAAATGCAAAATGTGTACAGAGGTTACAGTTGTCTCGGATGAGCTTTTGAGATTTTTAAATCTGCTCCTGGGTTAATGCAGGTTTCTGTTATTTGAAAATTATAGAAAAGGGCCCTGAATGTCATGAAAATTGTCATGTGGTGTAAGCAAGTAGAACATATTTTTCTAACACCTTGAATACACATGAGTGTGTATGTGTGTGTCTTATTATAATTTTTTTTTTTTTAAGTAAATATAATGGTTTATTTATTTATTTATTTAAAATGTTCATCTTCATTCATTCATTCATAATACAGATTACGGGAGTCACACAACATAGCTGTTTACAACCCAATATTATATTAAATCTTAAAAGACTGACCTTTATTGTTAAATAACCTTAAATAACTTTATTGTTAAAAAACAATATAGATTGTTTCAAAGCAGCTTTACAGTGATGATAGGAAATAGATTGTTTTGGCTTTACAGCAGATCTAGAATAAAGTTATTGTCCTGCTAAATTTAGTTTTGATTGATTCACTTCCGTTGCAAAGATCATTGGTTATTAACTTAAGGGCCGCTAACACGACACCGTTCTAACAGAAAACCCTTAATGCACTCCGGCCCGTCCATTCGCACAACAACAGTGGCTCTGGTGGCTCGAGAACGCAAACCTTGAAATAGGTTCCAAGGTGCAAGCTTTGAAAAATTTTGAAAAACGTATCATCTCAGTGTAAAATCCAAGAACGCAAATCTGTGAAAACGCTGACGGCGTGCACATGGGTATTACGTGTTTAGTCTATAGGTATGCGCGTTTGAATCTATATCTTCATAATACAGAATTCTTTTGTTTTTTTGCTTGTCATAATTTATAAAACTTAATTTTAATACAGAAAGAAAAAAAGTGCTTATCATTGAATAGTCATTGTATGTGAATTGAATCTTTTAAATACATGTTAAACTTTACTTGATTTTCATGAGGTTAATCACAATCCTTTTGTCAGATACATACATCAAAAAATCTTCAAGCATGCTGGATGATGTACTGCGATTTGAGAAGAGCATTCTCGCTCAGGAAGATCAAATATAGTGAGCACTTTTCCTTGTTTTTTATACCACTTTTATTGTCCTGATAGTTTATTAAATGTCATTATATGAATCAATAGTCTTATTAAATGTACTTGTTTTTTAATTCCCCCTCCACAGTCAACTGCAGTCAATCCTACAGGCTAATGAGAAACGAATAACTGATTTAAAGCAGATGTCTCTCCAGCTGGACCAGTTGTGCAAAGAGCCCTGCAAAGACACTGTGGAGATTCAGACAGTCACAGGCAAAGGTAAAATCAGCATGTAAACATCTTAATGACAACTGACATGGTGAATTTACTTTACATATACGATCAGAGAGCTGAATTATACATGTGTACTTTTCCCCAGATTGTCAGGACATTGCAAACAAAGGTGGTAAGGTCAGTGGGCTCTACTATGTGAAACCAGCCAGGGCTCCTGAGGCGTTCCTGGTCTACTGTGAGATAGACAGCTTTGGACGTGGATGGACTGTACTTCAGAGGGTACGCAACACAACAGACAATGAACAGTGACTCAATTTCCTTAAAGCAAATGTAGAGATACATGATCGTTGGTGCCGTGACCCAGATGAGAGTGAGGTTTAGGGTGGTGAGTCCAGCTAGTAAGAGTTGTTCAGGTAAACTTCACTCCCCTGACCTCAAGAGGTGCACAAAAGACAAACTTTACATGCTTCTTACATCCTTTTTACCACACCTGCCTCCCATGCCGGTTGACGCTGGCTCTAATCCCACTTGATGTGGTGTGAGTAGGACCAGTTACAAATGCGTGCTACTTTATTGATCAATCAAAATGAATTGTATGTTTTCAGAGACGGGATGGCAGCGTTGACTTCAACAAAAAGTGGATTCAGTATAAGGAAGGCTTTGGGTACCTCTCACCAGATGACAGAACAGAGTTCTGGCTGGGGAATGAGAAGATACATCTGCTGTCGGTTCAGTCCAGCGTGCCTTATGTGCTAAGGATAGAGATGGTCGATTGGGAAGGCAACAAAAAGTAATGAACCATGGGAAAACATGAGTTTTTCTCACTCTTACTTAGGTTTGAAAGTGGAGTTCCACAATCATTTTATTTTTGCATTTGGAATACTTTTATCCAAATTGACTTTCTATGGTTTGGGTACAGGAATGGTGTTTCATATTGGACATCAATTTGGTGTCAAACCTAAGCAAGATTTATCCATGAATTCCAAATGCAAGCATTTTCTTTATCTGCAATTGTCAAACAGGACTTCGCTCCGCTAACAAAATTGATCTTTGTCAAGTGACATTTCATGAACTCTTCAGTCAGATCAAACACGCTGTTGAACATTAGGGTGCACAGCAATCAATAGGCTGAGTGTTTGTCACAAATTTTGTCTTGTAAAACTTGCCTTCTCAGGTATGCCGACTACGCCACTTTCAAACTTGGACCAGAAGTTGATGCATACCGCTTGACGTATGCTTATTACTTTGGCGGAGATGCTGGTGATGCCTTTGATGGTTACGACTTTGGCGACGATCCCAGTGACAAATTCTACACATCCCACAATGGCATGCAGTTCAGTACACCTGACAAAGACAATGACAAGTTCGGGGAACACTGTGCCTTGCAGGAAGGGTCTGGTTGGTGGATGAACCGCTGCCATGCTGCTCATCTCAATGGAAAATACTTCCAGGGTAAACCATTACACTCTTTTGTCTTCATAGGAGATAGTCTTCCTTCCAAAATCCATCAATATTATACTGATCTCATTACTTATGTATGGTTTCTGTCTTTACAGGTGGCAAGTACACAGAGAAAGACACACAGCATGGATATGACAATGGCATTATCTGGGCCACGTGGCACAGTCGCTGGTATTCTCTGAAGGAGACCACCATGAAGATCATTCCCATTAACAGAGTCGTTGCTGGAGGGCAGGAAAGCGGTGCCAAGCAATTTGGAGGTCTGGGAGACATTTAAAGACCTTACCAAAGCTCTCCCCATTGTTCTGAGATATCATTTTGTTTTTGTGAAGCAATTGTTGAAATACATGGGAATGACATGGGCAAAGTATTTTCAAGTGAGTGTAAACATGTCTATGGGTGTCTGATATTTTCCATTCTTCAAAAATTAGGTCTGCAAAAGCTTCGTACACAAGTCATGTTGGTCATGTTTTTAAGTTTGATCAACTCATTTAAAATGAAATGGTCTAATGCATTGCACCTGTCAATTAATTAATAAAAATTCTGTCTTTTGTAAATGAAAGGTATTCTGTAGTCCTCTTTACTTAATATAGTGATCACTGACAATGTAGGTGAAGTTAAAATTAAAATAGGTATATTATGTCACAAAGGTACACACATTTTATTTTCATTTTATATTTTAAAAACATAAATAAAACCTTCATAACAGAAAAATGGGTAACACTTTATTTTAATGTGTCCTTGTTACACAGGCTACATGTAATAACTGTTATAATACATTATACATAATTACAAGCAACTAACACTTAACCAAACCCTAAACCTAATTAATATTACTTTTAGTGTAATTACACTGTAATGAGTAGTTTCGTTAAAAAGGGTATCAAAATACGCTGTAAAAACTAGAAAATGTATTATTTCTTCTGTTTACCATTTTCTTTGCCTGTTACAAGCATACACCCTATTCAAAATGTGAACGTGGGAGTGTATCATTGTTTGTTATTCAGGTTTTGTGTAGGTGTGTTAACCAGGGGCGCGGCTCGAAATTTTGGGCCCTATGAAAGAATATGATCCCTACTGCACCCATTCTATTTATAAAATCCATTTCTGGGGGGCCCAAAAGTGTGTGGGCCCTTAGAATCGTCCTAACTTTTCCCCCCTTAGCGGCGCCCCTGGTGTTAACCTCTGTGTAGGAGTTGTGGACCACATGGTCAGTAAGTCAATATTGCCCCAGTTCTGTGATAGAACACCCTGATCAGGCTGTACTTCAAGCTCCCTGAATGATGCAAGGATTTCATCATCCCTGCTGTGGAGCATCAATCAATAAATACTGAGTCAGCTATTTCGACACAGGAAACAAGTGCCTTCTTGTTTGCATTGTGGTTTTGAATTTTTCCAGATCAGGCATAGCCTTATGTAACACTATCAGTCTTGATAAATGAAAATGTCTGGACAGTTTATTGCCATCAAGTTCATAGCAATGACTCTTTGTATCTCACCTATTATGAATCCATCATTAATGTTTTGATGGATTCATAATTTCCTCTCTAATGTTTTGCTTATATTAGGCGTAAACTGTCAAGACAAGGGGTAAGTTTAATCATTAGGTAATATGTGAATGATGATTATTACCTTCTTTTGTTGTACATGTATTCCCATTTTTATTAACCAATCATAAAAAAGGTGAGCTATTTGAATTATTTTACATGTAGCAAGATCATTTTAAACATTTTGTAATGCTGTTTGCTGAAATATTTGTCAGTTGGGCCACTGACACACTTTAAAGGTGCAATGTGTAAAAATTTTGAGTATCTATTAACAGAAATGCATATGACATCCATAACTATGTTTTCAGTGGTGTATAAAGAACTTACCTCAAACCCCATTGGGGACAAAAGTGGGCAAAATTATTTCGATTTTTTTTTTTTTAATACTTCCCTTGATCTGAGCGGTACAAGACTTGGTGACTTTTCCTAAGTTTGCCACCTGAACACACACACACACACACACACACAAAAAACCCTCCTTAATTGACCGTTCGCAGGCCCCTCCCACAAAACGGCCATTGTCCAATCACACATCATAGCAACCGTTACTATGTGAACAGGTCCGTCAAACATTGACTCCAAGCAAGATGGTGAAGCGGTGCGCCTACGGCGTTTGTAAATCGGACACTAGGTACCCCGAGAGATTGTCTCGAGGAGTTGTGTTCTTTCCGTTTCCAAAGCCAAAAACACAACGTGAGCGGTGCCTACAATGGATAAAACAGTGTGGACGGCCCCACTCCCAGTTAAATGTGTCGAACTTCATGGTTAACTCGCGTGTAGTCTCAGCCTCCCACGGAACGTTGGCTAAACGTCTGATGCATATGGTACACTTAACTGGAAACACTTCAGGAATGTTGAAGTCGTCATCTGATTGGTTGAATTTTATCGGATTTCCGGGGGGCGCGAGTGTCGCATTTTTTTTCGGTCCGCCCGGAAACAAAGCGCAGACGTGTGATTGTGGAAGAAAAACTGTTGTGTTTACATGAGTGACAATGAGCATTTATCAAGATCAGCTAAACGTAGGATTCTCAAAAGTATGCGCGGTTCACGGCATAGACTCTTGAAGTTTTCTTTTCCTTCTTTGATTTTCTATGCTGACTGACTTGTTGCACGCAGGTCTGTTGTTGTGGGGACATTCCCACGCACCGAAACGTGACGCTGAACGAAACGATCTGTAATTGGTTGTTTTACATGTCGGTCAAACGGCCTTATGGGCGGGCCTTGGCCAAAGAAAGCTGCTATGAATTCCAGACCTTCAGCCGTCAGTCTGAAGGTCTGGCTACGCGAGACTAACTCGCGTGCAGCTTGCGTGAGACTGAGACTAGTCAAAGAAACATAGAGAAACCAGATCAAGAGGATCCACAAAGGAATTACGTTTTCTAAAGGGTTGTTGTTAACATGATATTCTCAGGGGAAAATGAGTAGCAGTGAAGCACCCGTAGACTAACGTTACAGTGCACGTTCGCAACGGGGAAAGCATGAAGCTTACTTGACAACATCAGTTCATATATCAATATCGTAACGAATAGAAATAACCTTAAATAATATAACGTTATGGTTTTCTGTATCTTTCCGTCTCTTATGTTTAGTTACTTTTTAAACACGAAAATGGCATTCAGCATGACACGCAAGCGGTTGCCGTGGTAATGAACAACCTGCTTGTTAAAGCGAATAATCCTGTATCCGAGGCGAAATTACTAAATATGCAGCGCGAGTTATATATTTCTAACTCCAAACATTAGCCACTGAACCAGTTTATAAAAATCTTCTTCAAGGCTGTGCTGGTTGAATTTGAGGTAACAGGTCATGGGGTTTCTCAGATTTAGCTTGAGACCGGTATAAGCATTCGCCTCGATAGTAGTCGTGTCTCCTTCATTGCGTATTTTTATGTTTTGAATATATCCCTCCACTGCATACTGTGTAACCCCTTTTGCCTCGATCTGGAGGATATCGCTGAGGTATTGCTCCAAAAAAGGTCACTGACCCGCACGGGTATACCTCTTTCCGTCATGGCAATCTGTCGCGCTGGTCTTGTTTGACCATTTGTTTGACGAGCGTAGCAACAATAACTAGGGGGCGTGGCTTTTGCGAACGGTCAAATTGTTTGTTCGTGGACAAAAATGGGCACCCATAGGAATGAATGGGGAAAACTGTAATTCAGAGCATTCTTAATTACATACACACAAATGAAGGGCTGATCCTGTACAACATGGCAAAAACTCTCACTCATACCAAAGTCCTTTTAGGCAAGTCATGCCCCTCGGCCGCCATCTTAGCAACGCCTCCAGGCAGCTATTTCGGACTAACAAGACCAGGCTCCTATCTAAATGAATGGGCAGAGACCCAGAACTGCACTTTCACTGGTCACCGGGACATAAAAACTGCATGTATACAAACACTAATAAAATATGATAAAAATCGCTGAAAAAGTGTGATGACTTTGCCCCAAAATAAGGTTTAAAACGCCTTTTTCCCCACAGGTTATACTTTTACTGCGCATGCGCAAGGGTTCTCTCGCTCTCTGTCGTGCGCGCGCTACTGCTCGCTCGCTCTAGATTCCGGGAGATTTGAACTAATTTGCGGTCATCAGGGAGCCGCTATCAATCTGCGGGAGACTCCCGGAACTTCCGGGAGACTTGGGATGTCTGATATTTACACAACTAACACATCAAATCTGCCGCCTTTTCAAACAGTAACATATTTTCCGCTGTCGCAAACCTCAACTGTGCGCATGCGTCGGTGGAACCAGGCGATAGGCTTAAATGTTTTCCGGCTTGACTGTTAAAAGCAGACGATTGGCTTTCCAGCGGGAGGGGCGGGGCATGTGCATACAACCGCCATCTTTGGCGTTACGGGTTTTCCCTATATAGTTGTATTAAGGATTGGGGAAGTGGCATGTCTCTATATAAATAGTCTCTGCTCATACACATACACACACACACACAAACACACAAACAATGCATTCAATGAGCCTATGACAGAGCTGTTTTTTTTTTATCAAATAAAAACTCACTAACTCACACATACAAAAACAAAGAATTGAATGAGCCAATGTCTGACCATGTTTTTGGTATGATCCAATCATACACTTGGCTCATCCGACTCTCTAAATGACCTATACTTTGTCTTTTCCTTATAGCATGGTCATATTTATCTAAGCATATTTTGGCATCTTTGTATAGTCTCACCTATATATTTTTTTATTACAATTTTAACTTGTGATAGTCAAAAACTTAAGAGGTCAAATTAATTTTATACAGTGGTTCATAGAGTTCAGCCTATATGCAGCCATTGAGTACTATTAGCCACCTTGTGGCTATTGATTTTTTATTTATTTATTATTAATTTAATACCAATATAAGACACCAGATGCCAGCAAAGACACTTCATCTTTAGGTTTTAACTCTCGGAACTTTGTGGAATGGTATTTTTAATGTAGTTAAAGAAATATTAAATATAACATAAAAATAAGCATAATTTACATAGTAAAATGTGGTACTTTTAGAGGTAAATAAATTCATAAATACCCCCAAAATAAAAAAAACATATCCACCATAAATGGATAGTATAAATGTTATCGAAGACAGTGAACTAACATTTATAAAAAAAAAAAAAAAACATGGATCACACCTGAGACCTCTGTGCCCACATTTGTCCACGAACAAACAATTAAGGGCTTTTAAGTGAATAGGGCATGAGGGTTGATGTTTTTGATGATTACGGTTGATGAACCGTAATGTTTTTATTACCTTAGAATGAGACATTCATATCTACATAACCGCGGGCACCCCCTTCTATGAAGGTCGACATATTGTGACGTCATGTTTCTACTGTAGCCGACAGTGAACAAACAGCGCTACAGAGCGCATTTCGTCACTACCTTGAAAGAGAAGCAGCCGAAAGCTAGAAGCTAGCCCTAAACACCGTGAGTAGTGACTTTTCTTAGTTCTTCTCCCTCGCTGTGTTATGGCTTTGCTATGTGGGGATAAATGTGCTGGTTACGTTCGTGAGACAA